GCGGGGGCCGAGAAAGCCGCGGAAAAAGGCCTGGGCCGCCGAGCGATGCCGCTGCTGATCTGCGGCTCTGCCCGGCCCGGCCCGGCCCGGCCCGGCCCGGCCCGACCCGACCCGACCCGACCCGACTTTGGCGGCACGCCGTGGCCTGCCTTGTGCATGAGGAGAGGTCGCTAGGCCTGCTGTCGGAGACCCACCCCCGCGAGAGCGGGTCAGCTCTCGGGAGGTGTCCGGTTTGACGGCAGCCCTCGTTTTCGAACCAAGCGCCCCATCCAAATGGGTTGGATGTAGTACCGCGTTGTGTTGTGCTGCACACCGCCGCGCTTTGTACCTTTCTAAGTGGAAACAGGTTTTCACCTGAGTGAAGATGTCTACGTGAAATTGCCAAATGGGAAGCTCATGATCAATTTGCAGAATTTCACAGAGCACTTTTGAATGAGAGCTACTCTGTTGAGGACTGTGTTACTAGAAATGCTTCACATAGAAGTCACAAGGCCTGCACGTTGCATTTAGATTTTCACTTTATTTCTAGTAAACAAAGATAAAATGTGTAATTATACAAGCAGTTAGTGTTTTCTATGTCACTGATGGAAGCTGAAACCAACAGATTTGTACCAAGCAATAGTTAGCTGTAACTGCTAGTAATGTCTTCTCAGAACTATTGTAGGATCATATGTTTGGGGATTTTTTTTTTTTTTTTGCAAAACATTTTACAGCAATCCTTCAGCATCCAAGCTTAGTACAACTCAAACTTAATTTCAAAGCTCTCTTTTGCAAATCAAACAGCAATCAAGCCTTAAAGCTTCAGCAGCATGTTTGGCTGCTGCTGAAAGCGGTCTGTGTGATTTTTTTTTTTGACATAAAGGTGCATAAGTCCATTCAAAGTGAGATTTTGGTGTAGTTGATGAGATCTGAATATGCTTCAGCTTCTGTCATTCTCTCAAGAAACACAGAAGTACCTAAGCTTTGCAGAAGTATTTAATAACTACAACATACACGTAAAAATAAATACCTTACTGATAGATTACTGATGCCATGTGTGATGGTAAACTTCTTCCATATTTAGGTAGCGGGTCCAATGTAGAAGGAAGGCATAACCCTATAAACAGTTAGATTATTAAAGAAAATAATTTTCCTTTTTGTATAAAAGGGCATATGCACATGTAGTTATCAGTCTAGTCTCCTGAGGTCAGTAACTTTCTGCCTCTGTTTGGAAATTGTCATGAGAATACTAACTCTTCTGGAATTACGTTAATAATCAGAATATTGCATTTATATTTTATGAATTTCAGCTATGAAATGAGGGTGACTAGGAAATTGCATAAAAAGTAACTGCCTATATTGTATTTATTCTGGATAAGTTTTTATTTATAATTCTTTTGGTCTGCTTTTCTTTTCCCTCTAACTGATAAGCAAACCCAACAAACTGAGCTTAGGGAGTATCATAGAATTTGCACTGAAAGTCTTTTCATAAGCAATGGGCTACCTGAGCTGTATAATTGAAGCAAACTGATTGACAAAGTTACTATTTGCTCTGTGCTTCTCCACTCTTGAGTGTTGTTTCGGATCGCATCAGAGAGGTCTGGCCTTTCTGAGGCACAGGGAATATATCTGTCCTTTCAAAATGAAATTTAAAAATTTCAGCTGTTTTTATTGGACCATCCCTGTATTTTTCCGTTCCCTGTGTTTTTTCAACCAGATTAGTATCTGATTCATAACCAACTGCAGCAGAAGTTATTCTTTGATTTTCTGCCTTCTTTAGCCAAATTAGCCTTATAGCCCAATTTGCTCCGTTAAAATACTAGTTTTAATCATCTATTTAAACAGCCCAAGCATGCAGGTGTTCCTGCCATATCCTAGCACAAAGAGTATGCAATATTAAAATGTTGATAAGACAGTTGATAAAATCTGTCAGGAACCCAGAAGTGTTTCAGTAACAAATTCCTCAAATTGTTAATCCCTATTTCAAAAACAGTTTATGTATTTTAAAATATAACTCTGAGACTATAAGTACATAAGAAGTATTATCAGAGTACACACAATAATTACCTGTTTTTGAAAGAAAACCTGCATAGCATTTTGCAGTTTACTATTTGTTATCTTAACATTGAGGACTCTATTAGAACAGAATATTATCCTGTGTCTTCTCTATACACAGTGCGTGAGTACCCGAAGAAGGCTTGCTATAGCTGTGACTTCTCTTCCCTTTTTTGTCTCACCAATGAATTTATCTCACAGTGTGAAGTCTTGCAAATTACCATGTGATTCAATATCTGGACAAGAGTCTTACTTCATTTATTCTGGCTTTACATGCATGAAACATAATTGACTGATGGGTTTAAACCTAATAACTATGTAAGATCAGAATCAGACACTGTTTACATAACAATGCAAAATAGTATTAACAACAGTTTGAAAAGCAAAATAATACTATGCTTGTAATATGGATTTGTACTAGTTCTGATAGTGTCCTGATGATGTAAAGAAAATGAAAGAGCTAAAGGTAAGCAATTAAAACATCTGTGTTTTTATGTGTGTATGTGTAGATATGTATGTGCGCGCACACAGACACACACACACACACGCGCACATAATATATATCCACCGTATATAGTTGTATGTATTTTATATATATGTTTTAATATATAAACATATGTTATCTCTTAGCCAACTGTGGAGCAGATTCTCAGCACTGTTTCTGATTGTTTCTGTTGTACTGACTGGGTTTTATTTTGGAGGCTCCTCACAGTTACTTAAGTCGCACTTGCAAAAGAAGTTGAAGTGAATATTATTTATTATCATTAAATTATTTTATTGATCTTATGCCCCAAGATGACATGCATTTAGTGCCCTAGTTAGGCTTATAGTTTCGTGGTTCTATAAATGCAAGTGAAGCATGGGGCACAGAGGAGCAATGGAGTTCTGAACATTTATTCCAATAAATATCTGCCTGTTTATGTCAGCTCCTCAGAGTTCACAGTCTAAAATTTTTGTTTCATCAGAACAATTGAAGACAAATTGGAATTTTATTGTTCCAATTTGTTATGTTCAGTTTGTGACTATTTAATTTGGTATAGATACTTGAATTCCTTTTTACCTTTGGAACTTTCATTTGTTAAAAAAACAAAAACGGGACAGATTAATAGGTATTTCATTAGTGTCTGTCTAGCTAGAGAAAAAAATCCAGCTTCCCGTTCATCCTATGCCTGTGTTTTAACTTACTGGACATTACTGTTCTTGATACTACTCCTGGGTTATTCTGCTTTGTCTCACTGCTGCCTGTGGTGCTCTGCTTCCTGCTTATTTGTCCAATTTCAAGTTATTAAATCTACTTATTTAAGTATAATTGACTGTCAGTGACTCTATAAAGCATCGCACATGAGCCTCAGAGAAAGTGATTGATATTTGGTGATGTAATGTGACGAGATCCAAGACTAGTTCAAGGCTCAGCCTCAGATTTGTTTTATTTTAATTCATGTAAATATATTACCAGATTTTGTTAATACAGCCATTGAGAATAAGTTGGCAAGTAATTTGTTTTCTTAATGAGAGTTGTTTGAACCAATGAAGGCACAGATAATCTTATTATGTTATTCAGACCTCATGTTACGTTTCATGAGATTTTAGAGAAGTCATGTGTAATACTTTCCTGTGGGTTGAGCCTGCTTATATTACAGTTCTACAAGGTCAGACCTTAATTTAACTAGCAACTGTGTATTTAATTTTAGAAATATCACAGGACAGCTCAGCTTGTGGGGCGCTATTCCTGGCTGTTCAAAAGGCAGGCCCAAGAGTAACAGTGACAAGATAATGGGTTGAAAAGGTGAGAAAATGTTATGCTCGCCAATTTGACTAATAGTGAAATACTTTAAAACTGTGAATAATATTTAGTATACTGAATCCAAATTTAACTGTTATTAATTATTTTATTGCTATGAATAACCTCTTTGAGACTGCATGCCTAAGGGCCTTCTATTTATAGAGAGCAAAGCTAGGATTGCCTAGTTTATTTTAAAGATAAGAAATTAGAATAACTTTAACACTCACGTAACATTAATTTTTTATCTGTATGTTTAATAGTGATAAACGTTTGATAACACTTCTTTCTAAGGAGAGACCCAATTTCCATGATTAGCAAGTATTTCAGACCTTTTGCAATGAAAAAAAAAACACCATTAACTTAAAGCAGAACTGTTTTTTTAGGAAGAAGTGAATTCTTTTTTCAGAGGAAGTATGCGCGTAATTCAAAGTTAAAGAGCAACAATAAATAATCTTTTTATTTTTTTAAGGAAAAAATGGGAACAAAAACAGAGAAAGGACAGAATACTCAAAATATTTTTTTCAGAAAATATTCTTGGTAATATAAAGACTAAAATTTGTTTAGAGTAGGCATTTGCAATTGTTTCTAGTGATATAGTATCTAGATCTGGTAATAGAAAAATTGAATTTCCCAAAGCAAGTGGAAGAAAATTTTGCTACTGAGCATTTTAACTTTTTTGCTGCTACCTCATGTAAGAGGGATGTTTCTACTACTACTCAATGTACTAGCCACTGTTATATTCCACCGTGATCCCAGTAGAACATCCACACTCCTTTTGGATCTTGTCACCTCAACATAGCATATTACCAGCAGTGATATAGCAAATCAAGCTCCCAAAGCATTTATAAACCTCTGGTAATGTGTCCAGCACTTGTGCTGTGGTGAGCTATTTGCTTTATCATACTTACTCTACCATGTCACAGTCACTTGCTATCTTATTAATTTTTTCCATTTTATAATACTTTTTTTTGATGGGATAAGGTATTTTGAGAACAGTACACACAATATTTTTAAAGCATTGTTAAACTGAGACCCTTCTAGTTAAGTCTGTGTTCAAGCAAAGCTTGGTACTTCCTGTGACACAATCAATTCTGGAGAGTACAGCAAAGCAGGAGTTAGTTGACCGAATAGGTAAGAAAGCTATGCTACCAGCAAAAAGAAGACAAATTTATATGATGACCTGTAAACTGTTTTCTTTTACTAATCCTTCAGAGATAAGGAGGAAGTGGACAGGCAATGTATTTTTCCCAAAATATATATGACAATGTGTTTTTCCCTAAATTTCTAACTAAGGTTATCCTGCGAAGTGCTGTGTGGTCTTAATCCCTTTTTAGCATCTGTGAAGTTGGAGGCTATTCGTCACCTCACAAGATTAAACCTGTTACGAAATGTCAGGAATATTTATGAACAATAATGTAACAGGAATGCACCAAACCAGCTTTCTTTCAAAGAGCTTGCAGTGTGAAGGGCTAATCCAAAGCCTATATAAGTTTCTAGGAGTCTTTCCACTCACAATTTGGCTTTAGTTCAGGCTCTAAAGTACAAATAATATGATGGGCTGTAATGTAATAATAAACAAACATTCAAACTTGATTCTCTTAAAGACTGCAACTTCAGTAGGGTTTGCAGAGCACAGAAGTCCGCCTGTTCAGATGCAATGTAGCTATCCTTGATAGGCAGGACTCTTCACAAATTTCAGCAATGCGAAAGGGAGTGCATTTGGCATACATGAAGAATTCATACAGAAGGTTTTCTAAACATAAGAAAAGGTGTGAAGAAAGGGAAGGTGGTTTATTCTTTACTTTTAAATTGCTGTGGTGGAAACAAATTATAAATGTAAAATTAAAATTGGAAACATCAAAATTAGAAGCATTTTTATGAAGAAGGGAGAAAAATAAACACACAAATTAAGCTTGACCCAGAATTTTCCTGCCTGTCAACAAAGCCAATAGTAAGAGTCGAAGAGCAGAGGCTCAGTTTCATGGCTTTTGTTGGTGATAAGGAAAATTTCAGGCTCATGTTACTAAGAAACTAGTGACATCATTTAGAAAGTACATTTTTACCTGCCTCATTTTACGTAGTTTTTTGAAATTCCCATGTTTTCACAGAATCACAGAATCGTTTAGGTTGGAAGGGACCTCTGGAGATCATCTAGTCCAACCTCCCCTGCTCAAGCAGGGACCTCTAGAGCAGATTGCCCAGGATCACATCCAGGCGGGTTTTGACTCTCTCCATGGAAGGAGACTCCACAACCTCTCTGGGCAACCTGTTCCAATGCTCTGTCACCCTCCCAGTGAAGAAGTTTTTTCTCAGGTTTAGGTGGAACTTCCTGTGGTTCAGTTTCTGCCCGTTGCCTCTTGTCCTATTGCTGGGCACCACGACATTTTGTATTGCATCTTCAAAGTTTGACAAGGGATACCTTCCTTTCTGCATAAAGTGAACTTGGGGAAAAAGGTAGAAGGAAAAAACTATTAATTCTTTTTGCTGCAACAAATTTGATAAGCTTTCATAAGCTTGTTTTGATTATAGGAGTTTCAGGACATCTTTATAATTCTTTTCAAAAGTATGGAGAAGTTCATACTGTTCTACGTCTCACAGAAAACTTGATGAAAGTTCCCGGCAGTTTCAGAAAATCTTTTTCTGCAGGAGTTCTACCTAAAATTCACTGTGCCAGAACATAACTTCGCAAACTTCTGACGTACAGTAGGTTTAATGTTAAGTAGCGTGGAAACATTTTAGTACTTGTGTCTGCATTGTGCTGACAAGTTCATCAACTAGCTAGTGTGTAAAATCTTTTTTGGACTGTTAGGCTGAAGCCCTATTTAGAAACACAAAAGTAAGAAGCAGAGAATCCTTTGGACTAGCATTGTCTGTGATGAACAACATAAAGGACTATTCTTTTGAACAAAAAGAAAAGGACATGAAAGTTATTTTTTAATTTATGGAAGTTATTTGCAATCAGAAGTGGCAATCAAGACCAAAGTTGTCTTTAAATAAAAGGGGGCTAGGGTTTTTTTTATTTCACTTGACTTAAGATTGGCCATCTGTGCAGTTAAAAAGCTTGGGCCACGACACTAGTACACACGTGTTGAAAGATGTATGAATCTGTAGTTAGCGTTAGTTTGGTAATCTGAATCCAAAGAGACGTTCAGCTTCAGAGTCATTCTGTGTCAGAATCTTACTAATTTGATTTTATTGGTGAGCTTTATTATACTACACTAAATAGTAAACTTTTGGATGGGGTTATAATATTTGATACGATATTTTGATTGAGTTATTAATTACTGAAACAATGCATAATTTCCTTCTAAAAAGAAATACAGTTAGCATTTCTCTTGTAGTTCAAATATTAATTTGCAAGTTTTTGTTCTTTACAAATCTTTTCTCATCTATAGATACGGCATTTTACACTTCAAGAACCTGCAAGAAAATGGTGTAACAAGCAACATTCCTAACCTTCCACTTATAATTTGCTATTAAGGCATTTGACTGATGAGATATCACTAGCACAAAACATAATGAACAACAACCATAATTAAAGTTACTGATATGAAGAGACCAAATTTAAACTAGTGACTATAGTTAAAAGATGCAGCATTTTACATTACTAATCGTCTGAGCCTTCCAACTACTCTCAAACCTTGAAAATAATCACTAAGAGCCTAATCCAGGGAAGGTTAAGCATCACCATGGTTTGGGTACAAGTTTTTTGAATATCCATTAAAATTCAGGACCTCAGGAACAGTGTAGAAACTTGAAGTCCTTCACCTGCTTTCATGCATCATGTGTTGGCAGTGTAAGAGTAAAGCAAGATTTGGAAGTGAGGCTTTTTCGACCATATTAATGTTCATTACAAATGATAATTAATGACACAAGATCATTGTGATGTTTTATTGTAAAGTATTACCTGTCTGTGATGTCTAAAATCTTGTACATTATTACATGACTACCTTTTGCATTTGATGTTATATCTCCCAAATCCCTTATTTTTCAATTGAGAAGACATCCCCATGGTCTGTTGTGCACCAATAAAGGAGGGGTAAATACAGGTTGCAACTGAAAACTATCTAGTAAAGTTCTTCTGAATTCAGCACTGGGTGAAGAGCCACCACACAAACTGTAGTGAGATGCCATGGGCTTTCTCAGTCTGAAATTCTGTGTCCAAACAGTATTGGTTGGTGGATCATTTATATCTGCTGTCAATACCACTCTATGTGAAGGAGGCAGGAAAAAATGCTCTTTTCCATGAAAAAAGAGTCAAGTTAGTTCATAGCTTATATGAATTAATACGATTTTTGTGTAAAACCTGAATAAGTATGATGTGCGATCATCCTTATAACAGATCACATTTGATTCTGAGTAGCTGACCCTCCCTGTAAATAATTCTCAATTTTTTTCCTTTTTTTTTTAACTACACATTTTAAATGTGTATGTATTTTGGTTTGTTCATGAATTGCTCGTGAATGCCTGTTTTAGATTAGGAATCAATCATAAGGTTATAACTTCGTTTACTGTTCATTATTCGTGCTTTTGTAGAAATCATATATCCACTGATTTGGGACCTTAGCTTTCTAAAGAGGAAGAGTCTTGTGCTATGGTTCACAAATTGTCTAATATTTGTAGACGGTAAATGTAATGTGCAAGTAATAAAAAGAGCTTTTCCAAATGGCATGTCCAGAATGCCCAATTCAAGTGTTTCCAAGGTTGTTTCCTTTCGTTTGTAAATAGAAATAAACTCACTAAAATATTTTTAAATTTAAACAAATTGATAGTAACACCCTATTGTAATAAAAGAAATATTCAGACGTACCTTCTTCATGATGCTTAGCAAGTATATTTTGCGTGTATTTCATGATAGCTCATCATTCCATAATAAGTGATGGATGAAAGTGAAGATTTGGTTGAAGATCTGCTCACTGGGTATGCCATACAGCTTAGCATTCAAGAATCAAATGCCGCCAAGCCACCAGTATCTTCTGGCTATAATGACAGGTACTGTGAATTCAATACATATGTGAAGAGATTATACCATATTTTTAGAGTATTTTGAGACACTGCTGTTGTGCTAGTGCTTTATGTCTTCCTAAAAAGAATTCTTAGTGTGGCCATTACCTGTCCTTCTCAATGAAGCAGTGTGTGAAGCAATGATTGAAAAGAGTAAGCAGAATAAAATACTGATTTGTTTTTTTCTTGTACATTTCTAAAAGGTCAAACTCAAAAGACAAGAACATCTAATTTGTTAGTTATCTGTCTGCTTGTTCCAGCCCTTTCCTTTGCAGTCAAACTGAAACATACTTATGCAAAAAAATCGAAACCAAAATAACAACAAAAAACCCTTAGGAGTGGTCCACCAAGGATTCATACATGACATTAATGATATGGTTAAGACTGACTCCTTTGATTAGAAAATGTTGGCCTCAGCTGAACTATTCAAGATGGAAAAAATAATCTACGTGGACTTACTCAGAGATCTATGCTGTGTGGACAACACTCTAAAAGCTGAAAAGGGCTTCTGCTCTCAGTTGCCTTCTAGAGCAATTTGTCTCTTTGGGGTTTACATAGAGAGTTTAGGAAGATTAGATTCACTTGGCTAAACTAATACTTCCTCTAGTATTTTAGGCCATTTACATTCCTTTTAAAAGTGTATTTGTGAAACAAAATGTGATCTTAATAGAAGTTCTTTGCCAGGAATCCCATAAATATTTTTTGCAGAATGCTCTATCTGAAATTGAAAGGGAGACATAGAACTGTAAGTCTCAATTAACTAATTTATTGTGCGATCTCAAGGGAGTTAGCGTAGGGGAAGTTAGCCCCTTGTGAGGGGCTCCTATTGTAAGACTGGAATCTCTCTTTTTACTGAAGGCTCTCAGTAAAACCACTGGGTATTTTAGTATTTGGCTGTTCCTTTTTTTTTTTTTTCCCTCTGGTCTGGTTATTATGATGTATTTGTAACTGAAATATGTCAAGGCACTAGCAAGTACCAGCATTTAACTTGTATCACAGGAAGATTTAAATGATACTGTTAAAAATCAACCGGCAGCTCCTTTTCAAAGAAAATCATAACACTGACACCATCAAGTTCTCTTTTGTTAATGAATATTGATATTCTGATGCCGTCAAATTATCATTTACTGTCTACTCTTTCTGAATCTGAAGGGCTTGTTTCTGTACTGTGCGACAAATAAACTGTTTAGTCCACTTCAAAATTCTGTTCCAAATTAGAAGATTTGTTAGAGCACTTCACAGGTCCTGCTGGAAACTGCTATACCATGGGAGCAGAGGTGGGAGGAGGGAAAGGAACATGAAGAATACGCTCTGGGAATTCCAGTTGAGGTCAGCTTGCAGCATGATTGCGTCCAACTTGGGAACTTTGGATACTCCTACAGTTCCACAATACACGTATAACTAACGAGATCACAAGGCTAATCAAGACTGCAGCTACTGTCTTTGAAGGAAATCTGGCTCACGTGAGAACCAAATGGCAAATATTGAATAAATGATTTCATATAATGCATCTATTTTCTATTTTCTGCTTTTTTTTTGGATAGATTTGTACCACCTAGTGAGGAAAACAGGAAAATTGTAGCAGCCATAAAGCAAGGTAAAATTCCTAAAATAAAATAGTCCTTATGCAAAACTCTGAACTTTCAGCCTGTCATTTTCAATTGCGTTTCATTTATCTATTGGGTTTTTTTAAGGTCAAGTATTTGAGCTCCAAGACCTTGTGAAAAAGAAATATGCTTTGGATGAAGCTGATGAAAGAGGGTGGTTTCCACTGCATGAGGCTGCAGCTCAGCCAATTCAGCAAGTACTTGAAATCATTTTGGATGGTGAGTAAGGTAAAAATACCACACAAGACCTAAGGTAGTGGCAGCAGCAAAGAAACAGCAATAAGCAAGCATGCACAGAAACAGGCTGGATCTATTTACTAAAGCAAGTGTGAATATGATCTTCCGTGGAGCATCTTGCTATGTTGTGTAAATAGCAGACAAATTTTATTTGGGGGAGGTCATATCAATTTACATGAGCAAAGAACTTGGATCATTTTTTAACACTTTATTCAAAAACTTGCAGATGTATAGAGCAAAAATTACTATTCAGTACTCAGTCTGGCAGTATTAGTTAGATTAACTTAAGCATAATTACAAGTAATTTTCAAAAAGATTTAGCATGTAAGGATTTCTGGTGTATGTCCTAACAGCTTCGTGTTTTAATGTTATTTTTTTTCACTTTATTAACTCTAGCATCTTACAAAACAATGTGGGAGTATAAAACATGTGATGGAGAAACACCTTTAACTTTGGCGGCAAAAGCTGGCTTTGTGGAAAACGTAAGAGCATTACTGGAAAAAGGTGTTTGGCCAAATACCGCAAACGACAAAGGAGAAACTCCGCTTCTTATTGGTAATTGCCTCCTTTCCCTGTGTTTAAGCAAAAAGAATTGCAGCGCTTCCCCTCACCTAAACTGGCACGTCCATTTCTACAGACTCAAAACCTGACTCTAATACTGGATATTTGGACCCATTTCTGCAAATCGTTATAACTGTGATTAATTTTTACTTATCTGAGTACTGCTATTGACTTATATGTTTTAAATGGTGGTAGTCTTTTTAGATGAAACTAATAATCCAGCACTTATTAAAAGGTGCCCAGCATTCAGTTCAGCACTAGTTATGCCCTAGGTGATCACCGAGCTGAAACTTTGCTCTTAAAGATGCTCCTAAGAGTCTCATACCTATTGTTTCATTCAAGACAACTTCTCTGTATCTTCAGAAGCCTTAAGGCCTTTAGCAGCTGGGTCCTATTTGACCATCTTCAGGTATGAGTATTGTACAGCCAAAGAATAAGCTGCTGTGTAGACTTCTGGGTCTGTCGTTTATTGCAGATTTTTATTTTTAGTGAAAGATTTCCAAATCTCCCAGACCGTTTCCCTCCCCTCTTCATTTAAAATGAACTTCAACTGCATTGCTAAGTAATACCTCAACTTCAAGAAAGGTGATTCTTTTGGAAGATTTTATACTGTTGGTAGATTTAAATATACTTTACCATATATGAGTAATTTAGCTGTATCAGGTTCTAATTCCTGTTGAAACTGGAAATATCTTAATTCTTCTGAAAATAATCAGTCTGTAAAATTATTACCATTCTCATGTACTGTATAACAAAATGCCATTATTCTGTATAAGAAAAGACAGTATATAATACAATTATCAATATTAAAATATTCAGTTCTCTGAAGTTTTTTTGACTTTGATTGACTCAGAAGCAATTAATGTATTGAAATTTTAAGGCCCTAAGGCATTTCTAGAGGCCTACTTTGAAATATCTTGCTTTATGTTGTTTCAGCTCTTTTCAGTTTACACTATTTTCAGCCTTTGCTATTTAGTGAATCCTGGAAAGAACAACTAGCGCCCACATAAAGGTTGTTTTCCCTTACAATGACAGTTTATTTCCATAAATATTCCCCTACACAAACTCCTGAAAATGAGGTTGTCAGCTATGTATTGTTTATATGATACTTTTGTGTTTTTGTATAGCTTAGGGCTGAGATGTGCAAGTAGATATTGATCTATATCATATATTTCAGTCTTAGTGTAACAGAGAGTCAGGTGCTTGACAGGTGAGCGTTAGTTATGATTTAGTTGTTCCTCTTTTAATACTAAAACTCTGGTTTAAAGGGTTCTTCAGTACAAAGGTAAATGCTGAAGAAGTATCCAGTGGGATAATTTCTGCTTCCAGGTTCATTCAGTAATACTCTTCAAAGCAATTATGAATAGTTATGAAGACCTTTGACTTGTTCACGAAAGTTAAATTTACTAACCCTATGATGCTGATCTGTCTCAGCTCCCTCATCAGTCAGTGGAGAGATCTACTATTCCAAAGGACAGTTCAGAAGTGAAATTAGATTCTCATTCTGGATCACTGTCTTTTACGCAGATAAGTTCCAGTTGTAGTTATCCGTGAAAATTTCAAACTTGGAGTCTCAAAAGGGCAGAATGTGGCCTTTAAGTATGACAGATGTCAGTCGTGCTTTGGCGAACAGCCAACATGGAGTGCACTCTAGGATTAGAGATACCAGATGACCAAGTTAGAACTGTAATTTTCTGGGAACATTGTAATATTTGTACCATCATTAAAAGTAAAGGACTGTGTTCTAATATTGCATTATTTTTATTGTTGCTTTTTCTTTCTATAAGCCACTACTGCTTTCTCAGAATCTAACTGATGCTACTTTTGCCCTCAGTGTTCCAGACTAACATATTTTACAGCCTGTATTTGTTCACCTTGATTTATTGTGCAGCAGGTATCGCTGCTTACTTACCAGTGAGTTTAATCCCCACATTTCTAGAACTGGAAATCTTTTTAAGTTCCTCATATCAGTACAGCAGAAAAAAAACTTTTCTAGACTTAATAAATCATCTTTTAACTTTCAAGAGAATATACCTAAAAATGTAATTGTATTTTCTTTTTTAATATCTTCAAGCTGTAAGAAGGCGCTCTTTTCAAATGGTATCTATTCTGCTCAAACACAACTGTAGTATTCACCAGCCATGTGTGAAACGTTGGTCAGCAATGCATGAAGCTGCGAAACAGGGATGCAAAGATATTGTTTCTCTTCTTCTGAAGAACGGTGGAAATGTGAACATCAAGGATGGATACGGAGTAACACCATTAGGTGTTGCTGCTGAATATGGTCACTGCGATGTGCTGGAGCATCTTATTCATAAAGGTTTGTAGTCGGGTTAAAAAAATGTACCTCTGGACCTGCATACATATTGCCTGGTTGCTGAGGTATTTTTGGGGTGATAATAGAAAAGGAAAGGGAGAGCAGTGATGGATCAGATTTGGATTCTTGGAACGAAAGGAAGCCTATGTGAATATGGACTGGAATGAGGTTTACATCTTTCCATAATGCATGTGAGAGAGGTGACAGATTTGCTATCAATCCATTTCGATCAAGGAGGGACTTACCACTATGTCTCTCCTTCCTTCTCTGACTTACATTCACTTCTCTGCCCTGCCCTGCCTTTCCCTCCCTTCCTACGCTTCCTTCCCTCCAACAGTGTATAAAATTATATTGGTGTTAATTACTGGAATTAAGTGTATTTGGAATTTTGAAAAACCTCAGTTAAAAGTTTCAGTTCAAAGCAGACCTCTCTCAAGTGAGCATTTTCCGACACTTGCATTTGTATCTGTACAAGGTGTGTTTTGCCTTTGAGGTTAAATTTACCACAATAAATACTTCCTTTCTTCTGAAAATGAGGAGGAAAGTAATCTGCGCTCATTATTGTGATGATCTACAAATTAATTGAGTTGTAACACTTAAACTCCCTAGGTGGAGATGTCCAGGCCTTAGCAGATGACGGTGCATCGATACTATTTGAAGCAGCTGGAGGAGGTAATCCAGACTGCATAGCGCTTCTTTTGGAGTATGGAGGAAGTGGCAATGTGCCTAATAAGGCAGGATTGCTTCCCATACACAAAGCAGCTTATGAGGGGCATTACCTGTGAGTATGAGTTTGAGCTTCACACTTTAAGATTCCCTGTGGCTCAAGGTCTAATTGAGTGAGACTGTGTTAAACATGCAAATGTGCAGATCATTTATATTCAGAAGTGCCTGTATTACATTAATATGAATTAATGTTTAGGTGTTATTTTAGCACGTACACTACAAAATGCAAAACTTACTACCTAGGACTAAATGAAAACCACTGAAACAACTTAACACAAGGTCCCGTTTGACATTGCTCAAAATACGTTTGTGTGTTGGAATCTTCTTGTGCAAAGTGTCTAATGAGTAAGTTAGCGTGCAGCTGGATGATGGTCTGTTTTCTTCATGCAGGGAAGTGGTGCCTTACTAATTCTCTTCACTGTTTTTTAGGGCCCTGAAATATCTCATTCCAGTCACATCCCAAACTGCAATCCAGAAAAGTGGGTTAAGCCCTCTTCACTCAGCAGCAGATGGCCAGAATTTGCAATGTCTAGAGCTCCTCATTGAAAGTGATTTTGATGTCAATACTCTGTTGGCTGAACACATTTCAGACGGTTATGATGATGAAAGGAAAACAGCACTCTATTTTGCTGTTTCTAACAATGACATTCTCTGCACCGAAATATTACTCAAAGCGGGCGCAAATCCAAACAAGGATCCTTTAAACTGTCTCCTTGTGGCAGTGAGAGGTGGTAATCATGAAATAGTAAGGCTGCTCCTATCCTATGGAGCAAATGTCAACTGCTACTTTATGCTGGTCAATGATACCCATTTCCCCAGTGCCGTTCAGTATGCCTTGAATGATGAGGTGATGTTAAGGCTTTTGCTCAATCATGGATACAATGTGGAGATGTGTTTTGACTGTATGCATCAAGATATCTTTGGAAATTCCTTTGTGTGGTCAACTCCAGAGGAAGAAATTCTCCCAGGATGGACTTCTTCTGTAATTAAGGATAATCCAGTAAATACATGCCTTACTTCCTTCTCTTCACTTTTCTCTTTTCATTAGCCAGTTTTAAAATTTCCAGATTATTATGCAGAATTAAGATTAAGATACTGGCAAAATCCCATTGTAATACACCCTAAAAAATAAAAGAGCCTGTCTTCGGCTTTGACTCTGAGATGAAGAAAATTACGTATGAGGAGTTACTTTAATTTTGGGCTTGCGTATTAGAGATTTAGGAAGAAAGATTTAAGAGGCCACAGGGCAAGAAATTGGAATTTCTGTTTCTATCCCAATGAATGGAATAGATGTATTTCCAAAGAGAAATCACTGTCAAACAAAATGGTGCAGGAAATTATAGCAATGTTATCACAGATATTGGCTTTCAAGCCTGTCCAGACAGATTAAGGGATCACGGAAGTTAAGCATGGAAGCAAATGACTTTTGAAGTAACTACCTAGGTATTAGTTTATGACTGTTAAATAGTATTTCTGATACTTTAATTACCTTCTATAATTGCTTTAAAATGTGATATTTTGGCATTCTTTTGCACAGGTTTTGAAATTATTGTTTGATGTGTTTTCCCTTTCAGTTCTGTGACTTTATTGCTGTTCCTTGGTTGAAACATTTAGCCGGAAAAGTGGTTCGTATTTTCATAGATTACATGGATTATGTTCCTCTATGCACAAAAATTAAATTTGTCCTAGAAACGCAGAAGGAATGGCCAGAGATACGTCAGATACTGGGTAAGTATCTAACTTCCAGTTAATGATTTTGTAATTTATTGGAGACTCTAACTGCCTATGCCAGGCCAAATTCATCCAAAACATTTTACAATCCCCGTGTACTAGCTAAGAAGCAGATTGTGTCCTTAATCCATTTCTCAGATTGAGACAGATCTTTACCTATTGCCACTGGTCATACATTAGCTAAGTAGGATATAGCGAAAATATACCTGGTGAAAATTACTCTCACAGAGAATGCCGTTGTTCTGTGGGAAGCCCCTTCAGTTAACTGGTACTGTTGAGGTACTTCTCAAACTCCATATTAACCCACGTATTTTTAAGACACCAGCCACTGTGTCAAATATATTCAAATATATTGAATAACATTGCCTATGTATGCTTTTATTTTTAAAGCTCTACAAATTCACCTGGGTCTTGCACCTTTGGTAACACAAAAGATGGCTTAACTGAAAAAAATCTACAGTATGGATGTCTACCTCTGAGCTAGCTGTGTGGAGAAAAACTCCTAAGAAATAATTCATCTACTGTAGACATGTATATTAGGATGAGATGAATTGAGATGATTATTTCCCTTCGTTGCTGCAAGGGGAGTGAGGACTTCTTATTCAGTTCAGTGGACATTTATATCATGGATACCATAACTTAGCTTAGGTGAATCTTACTTCTTGGCTGTATATAGTTTTTCCTGGATCCAGGAGAGCTTTCAAGATCTCAGAAGAAAACTTTGAGATTTAGGAAGTTTGATTTCCTTTCCAATTCAGTGGTGAAATGAAACCTTTCCCATCTAAAAATGAGCCTGGGAAAAATACACTGAGAAGCACCAAAGTCAGTAGTGAAACTCTGTTTGATTTTAATGGGCCTCTCATTTCACCTCATAAATCAAATTCACAAAATTTGGCATATTTGCCTGGTAACTCAGAGTATGTGATTGCATGTGTATGAGGAATAACTTAATCCCACATTTTGAAGGACAGTGAGTTTAGATAATTCATTAATAATACAAAATACAATTATTATTTTATTTTTATTATTTTAAATAAATTATTTTAAAGCAGTTGCAATAATAATGTCTTGAAAGCATGTTTTTAGATCTCCAAAATTTAATTCATGCAAAGAATGAATTTCTAATTGTCCTTAGAAAGTTATCTAACAATTTCTTTTGGTATGTGAAAATGTTTATATACCAGTGTATAAATTAGACTGCAGTAGGCTTTGCATAATGAATGGTTAAATTCACTGGAAAATACTCTATCAATATCCAGATGATAAACTGGAATTGTGGCTTTGAAATTTAGATAATTAATTTTAATACAAGTTCTGACATTTATTAAACTGGCATATTTATTGATAAAATTCTTTGGAGGGTCTTCTAACATAAAACAACCTTTTTCTTATCTATCTTTTCCTTATTTTTTCTTGCACATTGTTCTGTTGGGGAAACATATGCACAGTTATCTTGGCAGTAATTAATTTTATTTAACTTTTTTTTTTTAATTTTTAAATAGGATTTGATTTGACATCAGCTGTTTAAGAGCAAAATATTTAGAATTAAAGCTGAAGCCCTATTTTTAATTTTTATTTGGAAGTTTATATATCAAAATAGCTTGATTGTTACCAAGTACTGATACTTCAGGTATGTTGAAATGCATTGATCTGTTCAGGAAAGCTAAATCCAACTGAGCTCTTACAGTGGTGTAAATTCTCATATGAAGTGTTTATTTAGAAAACTCAACGGTCCCAGGCATAATAAGGTCTTGTCCTAGTGTGTTATTGATACAGCATAAGTGAAAGGTGCCAAGTAGTCTGCATGGCTGGCCTCAGTATCCTTTTTTTTTTTAAGATATGCACCTAGAGAAAGGAGAGATTATTCACCACTCATCATTTAATATGCTAAATAAGGTCCTGGTTTAGTCATTCAGATGCTTTGGAGATGCAGTACTGTGTGCATATTTCCAGAAGTAGACAATAACGTCAGGCCGATAGCTGAAAGAAGAAGGTTGATTGTGGAATATCAACAGCATGTAACACCACATTTTGGAAGTAAAAAGAACAATATTTTATTCAGAAATGGCAAATTAATAGCACTCCAAGGTAATAGATTTTGACGTTAATGTTGTTAGAGCATGTTTTGAGATTGTGAACTGGGGTACGATGACTGTTGATGAGGTTGTTTTTCCCACTATTTCTCTCTTGCTATTTTTTAGATAATCCTCGCTCGTTGAAACATCTATGTCGTCTGAAAATACGTAAACTCATGGGACTAAGGAGACTCCAGAAACTGTCATCCATGAAGAAGTTTCCACTTCCACCAGTTCTCAAGAACTATATCCTATATAAAGAATATGATCTGTACGGAGAAGGGATACGTTTAGATTAGTTTTTAAAAAATAACTGTGTACAATCTGTAATTTGACTCATTTCTTTACTATTTTTGACTAGGTGGAGAATTGTGTAGCTTGTTTTATGCTTCGGAACACCCTGATATTTCTTGTAAATAGGTCTTTTATGGGAACAATTTTCTTTTCAAAAAACTAGTATGTTAAAGCTGAACTTAAGATTTTATGTTTTAACTCAACATTGTATTGTCCAAATACAGGCTAAAATCGGAATAAGGAAACTATAATAATTGTGTAGAACAATAAATGGGAATTTAGGTGACTGAAGGTGTTTAATGATTATTCCAAGAAGAATTTTCCTGATGGACTCCTTAGTGAAGATGATAAGCATGATTGCTGCTCTCAGTTTTTGGCATCAGATTATTTGGAAATGTGTAATTTAGTTTGGCAAAGAAAATTAAACCACTAACTGCACTTCTCTGTCAAGTAATTGGCCTGAAATATAACACAGTTTGTGTTTTGAAAATCATTATCCTATTATAAAATTCTCCAAAAAAAGTCAAAGGTTCCTTTTTGCTGTTTTTGCAGAGTATATGTTCCCAGGTATAGCTTCTGTGCATGATAGGATAACATGGTATAATTCTTGACAAAGACTGAGAGACTTTATGTAGGCTTTTTTAAAGAAAAAGTGGATGTTAATGGACAAAAAAAAAAAAAAAGAAATCAAGCAGCATGTTATTGCTTGATTAGTTGAGAAATAATGTCATAATTTTAATTATGGTTCCTACAGAATTTTGTCAGATCGCTTCCAAACCTGACTAAACGACATTCTTAGCCACGCTGTGGTGCACTTGGCAGTATATTTCTGCACGTGTCTAGAGGAAAATACACCTGCTTAAATAATCTTAAAACTACTCTATTAAAAGTGGACTGCACTTATGCCTTTTGCAATCTACCATCCCTTTTATGTTGGGGAGGGCGGGGGGAAGAAGAGTCCAAAACCCTTAAGTTCAAAAATGTTTTCGGCTGGTGGGTGTCAGTGTTACGTAGTGCCTAAGTTAGAGTATAGCAAAACACTTAGTCCTGGTTCTCTCTCTTACACACACACGCACACACGCACACACAAGCAAACAAGCAAAAGATCAGCTCAGGCGTACTTCTGCCCTAATCGGTGGGCTGTTTTGTTTGGTTTTATTTTTGTCGCATTCTTCAGAATCTTTCCTTTTTTTTTTTGTTTATTTGTGGTATATAATTGCCACAAATAATTTGGTAGCACCGCAGTTAGAGATGTAAATTCCACTTCCTAAGGCAGCTACATCAGTCCCTTTATGGATCTGTCCTTAGTCACAACAGATTTAAAGGACCAAATGGAAAAAGTAAAAATTACTGATCTGAGACGTGTGGAGTTGACTTAATTGTGTCTTCTGGTCCCAGGAGGATTACTAATCATCTGGGTTTCCAAGACATGCCCTCTGTTTCTTGTCAGAAATTTTGTCCAGGATGAAAAAGAAGTATGTGATCATTCATGCAAAATTTCTAGAAATCTGGCATCTGCAGCTGGCTCCCTGACTTTAGGATGTCCCCCTCCGCACAGGGTCTGAACGCAGAATGCTGCATGAAACCAACATGGCTTTTTGTGGTTAGGGCTGCATAGGTCAGTGTATCCTTGACATATCAGACTAAATGCATTTATGCTGAATAAACAAACATACAAAAATATAAACAAATACTTCTTTGTGGGAATTCCTAGACAGAAATATAGGCTCAGTAAGGCCTAAATAGTGGTAATTTTGATGAAAACAGTGACCATAATACAAGAATCAGAATAGTCATTTATCTAATACAGTATACTTAAACAAGCAAAAGAAGCGTGATCAAGTAGGGCTTTAGACAGATGATTTTAAACCTTTTTTCTGTAGCTAGACCAAATTTCCATTAGTAATTTTAGTTCATGGGCTGAGGTTTATATTTAGGACTCTATACGTGCCTCAAGCAATAGTGAAATCACCTCTGGCATCAAAGCGTTCAGCTCTAGGACAGAGTATTACCACAAATGTTAAAAATATCACGAACTGGTCCTTGAAATATCATGAGGTAAGCTAAAAAGCCATGCTATTATTGGATTTACCTTTTAACCAATACAATTGGGACCCTTTCTGTTGTTTGGTAGCCTGTTATAGAGGGTGGACTAATCCTATTTTAAAGCTTTTTTTTCCTTCAACATTGAAAATGTTTATTTACTGAAGACTATTTTTTCCCCCAGGTGTTAATGAAAATATCATGACATTATGAGAAAACATCTGGAATGTTTCTAAGAGATCTCTGAACTGCAAAGGAAGAGGGGGGGTCAAAACTTAGTTGTAAAGGGTACATAGGGAGAGACAGAGAGATACAGAAAGGAAACTGTTTACCTCATGTCATGCTGATGACACAGTGAGGAACTGAACACAGGTCTTTTGAATCCTATGTTTTGCAGCTAGACCATGAAATTCTACTTTTTTGGAGTTGAGTATGTGTTGATGGGAGCAGGAAGAGTAAGTGGTCCAGGACTGGCTGTTTTGTGAAAAGAGGAAAAGACAGCAGCCACAGCTGTAAGAAGAAAGTGCCAGAAAACATTACTACTTTTTTCCTTACTTGGACTCTGATTGAACCCTTGCGATCTAGGGATTTTGTTTTCTCAGCTATGTGGGTGTGACTCACTGGGTGTTCCATCGCAACCCAATTCCATGGCATGTCCACTCCATTAGCAACATTGGTCAGAAGTAATTAAATGCCCTGGCATTGATTCAGGCACGCTCTGGGGTGAGGAGTTCTATCAGGTTAGAGACAATGTTTGAAAGCAGGGGTATAATTTGCTCTCTGTTTCTCATAAAATCTGACGCAAACAGCTGCACCAGACTGATGAGCTCTCCAAGGAGCCAGACATTCAACTGTGGTTACATCAGCCTTTGCAGCACCAGAGAGACTTTAAGCTTTTTCAGAGCTCAGTCAAAGACGAAACCATGGCAGAGTTCTGTGTATGATCAGCTATTGCCTGTCAGGCCCATAGTGCGTGTGCTCTCCACACAACTTCTATGCATTGGCTACTATCTACTCTTGGAAGGTGGCGTGGCAGGTCCCTGTCCTGTGCTATCAAGGGGAAAATTTTACTGCAGGAGTCAGTGTTCTGGCTTGGGCTCTTCATGCCTGAGCTGCTCTTTCTCTCTGATTGTTCCTGACAGTATGGTAGTCGTGCTTGGAGAAACAGAGTTACAAAACAGTGCTCTTTTGTATCTGCTTGGGGGTGGGCAAAGGGATTTTTCTGGATGTTACCTGGGACAGAAAGAAGTCTCTAAAATACCCAGCTGTTTAGCTACTGTTAGCATGGTGAAAAGTGACATAAAGTTGTGAGTGTTTGTCCCTGTAGAAGAGCTCTCTTCTCTTTTTGCTTATCCATCATTCCCTTCACTATGCACCTGATCAGCAAACAGTCTCTTGTCCTCATCTGTATGTCTTTTACTCTGTGTAGCCAGGATTGTCTCCCTGGTGTACACTGCCACAGCTCTAATCTGCCTGCTAAGTCAGTCCTTTTAAAGCCTTCCGCCGCCTTGTGAGCCTTGGGACCGATAGGTCTCCGCTCAAGAAAAAGGTAACAAGAAAAGCAAAAACAGCCAAAGTGAATTTCAACCTTAATGGCTCTATACTGGGCTGCTTCTCTTCCTGACCTTTCCACTGTAATTTTTTTGCTTAGACTGCAGTAATTAAAACTGAAAACTTACCATCCAAAGGTGACTATCCTTCAGACTCTTTTTCTGCACCCTAGAGATAATGACTTTGATTCAAAAATAAACCTCCTCCTTCCAAATGCATGGAACAATCTTCAAAGAAATCCATTCTGATTCTTTACCACGATAAATGCAGGAAAAATCAGAAAGAAGTACATGGTTAAGTGCACTGAAGTGCTGTATAAATATTTAAAGGTATATATTATGATGGGAAGCGTTTGCTCTCTGAAATGTTCCCTTGTGCCACACACCAACGAAAGATGTACTTAAATCAGGGGGAATATTCCCTGAGGAATCTATTTTTCATTTTCTCCTGAAAAGCTGTTAAAACAAATTACTAAATTGTTAGTAATCACAACACTGATATACAACAGTGTAGCTCTGGTGACATGTACAAAGTACTTACATTTCATTTTTTAAATTCACATTTTCAGTAGCAATCTCTATCTTTGATCAAGACTTAGGGCAAAACCTTTTGACTGCATATTCTGTATGTGCTAGATATGGTACCTAGAACTACTATCGTTGTTAATATGGGCTATTTACAAAACAAAGACAATGCAGAAGATAATTTACCTTACCTAGTACAGCTTCTTGTTTTTAATTCCCTGCAATTTTCATCGCTTTTATTTATATGGTGGAGCTCTTATTTTTAGAATTTATTTTGAAAATAAAAACACACCATTAAAAATAACTTGACAAAAAAAGGAAATGCTAAACGTAGAAATAAGTAGCTGTATTGCCCTCTGGGCATAAAGAAATGAAGTATCTTTTTATCTGAAAGGCAGACTGTAGGCTGTGCTAAGCTACACAGGAGAACTGTCTAGGACTAAGGCATTCAACAGAAGGTTAAGTACATGCACTTTTTGTAATTACTTATAATTAATAGCTATGGGCTGTCACCTGAACATGCAAATTATTATATTGTTGAAAATACCACCAAGAATAATGCAAGGCTTATACCAATAGATGTTAGATATTTGATTTTGCTTTTTGGAAAAGGTTACCTACAGATATCTCAACAGTATATCATTCAAACTGCACAAAATAACTGCATTATGTATACATGCAATAGTTCCTCTGATACTTTCTCTGTAATACAGCGCCCTCTACTTCCTGTCCAAAACTGTTGAGCAATATTGCTATGTAATTCCAAACAGCTGCTGTGTTCACCCTAGTGTCTGTACATCAGTAGCGAGTGAAATGATTGTTATATATAGTTCATAAATCTGAGGTCAATGTTTGCAAAGCACACTTGAGATTCTTCCTGAGGAATAAGAGCACCTATATGAAAGCAAAAGCATTAAGATCATCTTAATGTACAAAGTGTACAATGCAATATGTCTTTTTCTGTGTGGTAGAAAGGGCACTGAGGAAATGGATAGTCAGCAGAGATGGGGCAAAGCACTTGCTCTGAACAAATCCCAGGCAGGAATGGTTTGTGCTGCCAAAGATAAGCAGGCTCATCTCACACTGTTAGCACAGAACATGACAACATACTGATACAACATGATTAAAAAGTGTTCGTTGCATAAGAAGGAAAGCAGGCTGGGAATGGG